GAATTGTATGTGTCGTTTTCGTTTGATTGCTTGCAACTTCCCCACCTTGCGACATATGTAGCAGTGGTTGCCTTGTGGTGATTTGAGATTGCCACTCTCCCATGCCACCAAAATGCCCCAAGCACTTTCAGCAGCTTTGGATTGGTCATATTGGCACCTCTCAGTCGACCAAATACCACACCGTTTGCACTTCTTCGCCTTGTAGTCCTTACCCAAGTTGAGATCCACCGGAACAGGTGGAGGTTCAGTCAGGCCCTTCATCACAGTTGTGGCGACAGAGCGAGGCATGTCCTCTTGCTCGCTGAGTTTCGTGGATCGTGAAGTTGAAGCAAGAGGAACAAAGAATTTTGCGCCCGCCGATCCTCCTACTAGGTTGCTGGTTATTGCGCCGAATCAGCCACGGATTGATTATCCGATTCACCACAAAAAGCACTCATGTTGACTACAAGAGTAAAATGAACACAATCGAACTGCAGGCAGCAGAGAGCTTTTGATCAAACAGATGTGTCCCCCTTCTATGCACATTCAGCTGTTGTATGCAAATCCAGCTGTTGGTTCCCTCTTCCAGCGTCTAGCGCTAGACCAAACATCGCCAAACATGCAGAATAGTCTGCATGTTTCTGTGACGACTCCCCAACTCTAACGCAGAAAACACGATATTATTCAAAGTGATACCATGTAAATATAAAATAACAAATATAATATAAATATATATAATATAGTCTCAGAGTCTCAGGTTCAACTCGGCCAGCGAGAAAGTTTGTTTCTCGCCAACATTCGCCAACAAGAACAAATTTCAATTTCAAATTCCTGGACCTGTTCCAAGAAAAGTGCTCAGCCTAGGCGCATTGGCATGGAATGGAATGGACATGAAAAAACTCCATCAGGTCAGGAACACACAGGAATTCAGTGACTCTGACATATATTTGGCACAGCGGACTGACTGAGGTTTTAACTGAGCCAGGTGGGTCTTTGAATCCTCCCTGTCAGGGAGTTGACGGCCAGCCTCCAGCCAACTAAGAATGAACCTCTCAGAATTCCCTGGCAGCTTCTTAGCTGAAATCATCTTTGTGCATCCTTTATGCATTCCTTGGTAAAGCGCAGCGGAAAAATAACATATTACATATTTAATGCACCGGCGCAAGCAAGACATAGAGAACAAATACAATAGCGGAATTTGAAGCGGGCGTCCGCAACGGATAGAGACAGAGTGCCCAGGTTCACCGACACGCAACTCTGTGATTCTTCCTCAGACTGTTCTGTTGCTTTTTATAGGTTTGATTCAACAAACAAACACGCAGCAGCGCAATACAACATGAGGCCGCCGCCAAGAGGGTAAGGCTTCTTTGTCTCAACGGAATAGATCCAACAGTATCCCTTTGTGTCTCTCCACGGCTCAGCAAAGCTAATGATGGGAATTGGGCAATCAGCATTGCCAGCAGTGGCAGTTGAAGAGCTGGCTGGGCAAGCAAGTGAAGACTTCTTTTCAGGCAACGGCAACGGTGGAACTGGTCCCAATTGCGTTGAAAGAGCTGATTCCCATTGGTCCATGAGTTCGCCATCAGCAATGTCACTGGAATCTTTGGATCCCTCTCCTGCATTTTTTCAGTTGCTGCCGCTGCTGTTGCTGTTTGTCTGTAGCAATAGCGGGCGGCGCCGACTTTGCCCGTTTAGTGCTTGAAGGTTGTGTGACTTTGCTTCTTCCCCGACCTCTACCCCTGCCTCGCGCTCGTGCTTTGCCCAAGGCGACTCGCAGCAGCTGCATCCTTTTAGCGACATCTCCATTGGGACAGTCATCATCACTTGACGACGATGGTTCATCAAGCATGGCAGTATGTTCATGGTCAATCATCTGAGTGACACGGATCTCGCACAATGAATTTGCAATGTATTGTGCAGTCTTGAAGCGAACCTGCTTACCAGTGTGTTCAAAGGAAATGTTGTAGATGCAGCAGTTCAGGGTGTAGAACTCTGGCAACCCATTTGTGATTTTCACGCAAGCAGTCTGCTCTGAGTTCCAAGTCCATCGCATGGCAGTGGCATCCAGAGGAGAGAAAGACAGCCTGACAAGAAAGTACAGGTCCAATTTCCTTTCCTGATCATCTGGAAGAGATTCAACCAAGATCAAGGGAGCGTGATCCGGCCGATACCCTTTGTCTCTGCGGACAGATCGGAACAAGCGCAAGGCGTTCTTTGCTTGGTTCAGCAGAGTGTGGAACAGCACCGACTCTGGTTTGTCAGCTTCAATTTGCATTCTACACATCCCTGGACCGAGCACGCATTGACAGTGGGCCTGATCTATATCCGACTCATTGTCCTCTGGACCAGTGTGCTCGATGATTCTTTGGTGCTCTGCGCGGAATTCGGAATGGCTTTGCTTTACCCAGTTTCCTTGGCATTGGCTCCTTGCCAAATCAACTTGCTTTGCTGATATTGCATAATGTTCATCTGCCAAGGATGCAAGATTGTGAATGTTGCTTGGAGCGCAGTGGACCAAAGAAGTTTGAGGAACATCGACCGCAGCAAGCTGACCCTGTCTTGAACTCTTGTTCACCGAAACAGCTTCCTGCTTCAACCTCCCTTTGTCCTCACAACAACCACTCAACTAAATTACATCACATCCACCAACACATCTCACACGTCGACTTCGACAAACAAATTGTTTGAAGATTGACGGTTTGAAAGTCAAATCAAAGCATCACTCAATGAAAGTCCTCGAGATCTTGTCTCCAATGGTTTGTTGCTTCTTGCCACACTCGCTTTCTGGATTCATTTTTGGACTCACCAGGCAAAGTGACCTGCTACAGGCTAGGGAACATATTTAAGTATGACTCGACCGCTGGTTTACCTCCACAGTAAATGAAATTATGTCTGGACTCTCAAGGCCGCACACGATTCTCAAGGCACTGCTTCATGTAGAAGGTGTAGCCGTTGTAAGATCGGATGCCAGGTTCTCCTCCTGGCCAAATACAGAGTGAAAGTGCAGCAACGCTCTCACACTCATACTTTAAACTTTTAACTTGAACCTGCCTGTTGGCGATTGGGTCTTCAACGATTCAACGCACTGCATTTGGTGGTCACGCTGTATTTCGGTGAGGATGAACTTGGAAACCTTGAGGCTGAATGACTGCTGAATACTTGCTGGGTGATCACTAAACTAGCCGAGATGCAACCGAATCTATCCCATGCGAATTTCCTCTGCACACCCTTAGACACCGCAATGCAGTTGGTTGACAGAGGCTCGTTTAGGCTGCAATGCAACTTCTACAAATCCAATCAAGTAAAAGTAGCTTTCATTCATTCATCAAACTTCAGTAAGCCCCCCGTCGCCCTTTGGCTAGCAGCACGTGCAAAGTTGCACTCGACTTCAGCGTTGGACAGCTTTCTCATCCCTGATGTCTTGACCTTGGCCAGTGAAAGTGATTCTCACTAGGCACTAGCGACTGCAAAAACAATCTCAGACTATATATAAGTTACTATAAGTTATACCAAATCGCACTAAATTCAATTTTACATACCTCAACCCGTTGACCTTTGACATTGAAATGTGTGCCAGCCTGTGGCTCTGTCTGTGTTTGGCAGGATATCTTATTACTAATTGTTATTACTACATGTTATTAGACATCCTAATAGTTTGGGACCGTTTGGTTCCTGTTGCTGCAATCTCTTGCCAGCTAAGACCCCAGCAACATTATGCAGCATTCCGTTTTGGCACAGTGCAGATGGCTGCGACTGTGTGTCCTAACGCGTGCATTTGTATCATTGTAGATACATACAATCATATATGCAGAAAAAACAGCTCTTCACTGGTCACTTGATAATAAACAAGCATCAATGGCAATAAGCAATTTATTGATCTTTGATCTCTGAACTGATTTGCTCGGTCCTCCATCCAAGATCGAAGCCGCTTGGAAAAAGAATGATCAAGGCAGCACAAAGGTGTGTTGCAGAATTCAGTTGCGACCGCAAGAGGATCCAGGCAATCCGGGTCAAGAATCTGCGCAAGTTTGTGAGGCCATTCCTCTCCACATGACATTCATGAGTGGGATGGGATAGGCTAAAGGCTCTTGATACCGATACCATCGAAACACAAAAGCGAGTCTGACTTGGTATCTCCTGAAATGGTCGAACCAGTCTGTGCCAAGTGTGTCCCATGATTGAGAACATAACGAACAGCGCAAGGTGCAAAGCAGTGGAATCGAAGCCTGCAATCACAGTGCTGAACAATGTTCCAAGTTCCAAGTTTCAAGTTGCGACCTAGCCTTCCATGCAAGGTGGCCTTGGTCCGGTAACAATCTCGATATATTCGCGGATCGCTTGAATTGCTGGAGACCTGACCAAGACTTGTCCTTAACTTTGACTGTCTAGTAACGAGTCTAGTAGTTGACTTATCATCGGTTGGTTAGGCTGGGATAAGTAGATCAATTGTTCGTCCCTCCACAACTCTAATTATTTACATCGATGGATCCTCTTTATTTTTGATTTGGCTGATCAGCCACCTTTGGAGAGCATCGAGCCAATGGCATGTTCATGCCATTTTGGCTCAAGGTGTGAGCTCTGATTTTTGAACGCGTGTGGCGTTCGCCACCTGGGCCTGGGAGAGAAGCCATGTCGGGCAAAGGTGGTCACCGCGGCGGTCAAGGGAACCGCAGTGGTGGGAATTGGGGCTCACATGGAGCCACCTACAGCTATGGCGCTCACAATGCCGCTCACAATCCGTTCGAGGTGAAACTGCCGAGGTTCTTGAACTGGCTTGAGTACAATGAGGTGGATCAGTCAGAGAACTCGCTCATCATGGTGGACGATCGGGATGTGCGCATGGTCTCGCCGTTCCAATGTTGGCTGACACGGGAGATCATGGCCAACTCGGCAAGCTCCATCAACGTCTTGACCGAGAGAGATCAGGTCACGCCACCCAACTCGGGCTTCCACCTTTCGCTGTTCGGGAACTACACCTTGGACGGGATCAAGGCGGTGATCGTCATTGCTCTCGATACCGAGACAGGGGCTCCAAATGCAGGCTGGGACAGGCACACTGCCACAGCTCTGAGTCATCCGGCTTTTCAGCCATTTTCATGGCCGATGCTCAGGGACACCTCAGCATCATACACTGATGTCAAGGTGTACAACGGCAATGAGATCCTGTTTCGCTGGATCTTCAGGGGATATCGGGCAGACACTGATCTGACCGTGCAGCAGCAGTTCGTCGATGAGGTCCTGCTCAGGGAGTGCAATCGTGGAAAGCCAAGGCTGTCGGTCGTCGTGGCTGCTTTCGTAGGCTGGAGGGTGACGGTCTTTTCTTTCGAACGCGGAGGCAGGACGTCAGTTGGTCCCAATGGCGCAGTCGTGGCTGGTGATCACGCCAGGCTTTGAGCTCCGGGTGCGCAATCGATCGTCGCAAGACGCCATGGGCAACGATGCAGATCGTGTGGAGTTCAGGTTCAGAGACGCCAACAACAGGCTGGATCTGAAGTGCCAGAGGACTGCGGTGCCAGGAACCTGGCTGACATGCAGTCTCACAACCCTCATCCAGACGATCCAGAACGTTCGGCAAGCTCGTCGTGCTCGAGTTGAAGGGCCGGAGCACACTGAACAGTTTGGTCAACTGGCAGCGGTGCATGAGCATTGGTTCAATTGGGCAGTTGCGGAGAACGCTGAAGATGTGGGGTGCCTGGTCGATTTTATTGGTGATCTCGACGAGGGGAACTTCCACATCACTGCTACGTTCAAGCTGTGGACCAGGGCGCCGGAGATCGTGAACCCAAGGCGATCGCAGAAATGCAGCATCAAGAGGCAGGCCTAGCAGCTCCTTTTGGGCCGCCGGCGATCACCGAGGGTGCTTGGAGGCACGTGGCTGAGCGGGTCGTAGCGGCTAGTTCAGCGGACGAGCCAGTCGTCTCGACTTCAGCTCAGGCGGATGTTGAACTGGCCAGTCGCTCGTTTAATGCTCCTCCGAGTAGGTCCACGGATCACATTGAGGATGAGGACCGTGATCAGGCGCGGAACGATCGGCGATATGCTCGGTCCTCTGCGCAGGTCACTCCAGCCATTTTCGCATCCCAGATCCGGTCGAAGACTTTCAATGAGACGTCGGCAACGATCGAGGAGGTAGACGATCTGCCCCCTGGAGATCTTGAGCTCCCGACGGCAGCAGGTGGAGGGCGGCCAACAGATGCCGCAGGTCAGGGCGAAGGCAGTCGGGTCGATCCTCACCTGACGCCAGCCTCGGCCCCCTCTTCGTTCGGCCCCGGGGGCAGCTGATGGGTCGATGAAGATCGATCGATCGAGCTCGTGTTTTTGCCGGATCACCGGACAGGTTTTTGAAGAAGAAGCCAGCGGGGATGCGGTTTGGGGGGGGAAGTGATGGCGGGGCGCCACTTAGATGCGATCGCAGGTGTCTCGTTCTCCCCCTTCTTTCATGTTCTTGAATGTTCGATGATCGATTGTTCATGGTTTGTTTTTCTTTTATGATTTAGATCTAAGCTGTTTTACTCGGTATCCAAAGGATTGGTGAGCACGCTCGTGCTCGATTCTCTCCGCTCGATCCCAACCGATCCGGGTTTCGTTCGCTTTTGCGACGCGCGGCGATCGTCGTGCGCTGCAGGAATGGAGGTGGAGACCAAGATCCCTGGTCGCCGCTGCTCCAGCGTTAGTCGGATCCGACGCGGATTGGGACGGGTCGGATGTCGTCGTTCTTCTCGTTGGGTCGCTCGATCACGCGACGACGACGAAGTGGATGCTCGACCGATTCGCCGTTGGCGCTCGAGCTGATCAGCTGAGTTCCTGTGGCGGTTCGATTGATCCTAATATCCTTTTTAAGATGATTCCAGAATTTTGATCGTTTGGTATTTGATCAATGACGATGGTTTTTCGATTAGCCTGAACAGCTCAATGGATCGCTCCATGGCGGCGTTTCTTCAGCTGCCGATGTTCGACGATGAGTTCATTCGACCGCTGTGCAGGCTGGGGCTCGGGCGATCCGAGTTCTGGCTGGCGCTGGATGTCGATGAAGGAGCGGATGATCAGATCGCTCGGATGCTGGGCGCAATGGGGGGGGGATCAGGAGGATAGGGACGTGGTACTTCGACGGATCGAGTTGGCACCTCTCCTGTTCAACCTGATCCTTCAATCACGCTCGAAGATCATGGGCGAGATTGCCACCGACTTGGGGTATGGTCATGGATCGGCCGTTCGACCACTAAGTGTGGTTGAGGTGCAGGTTCGCGGTGGTCTGAAAGATCCTAGGATCCCTGTATTCAAAAAGCCGAAAGTGGAGCCGGCCACGATGGCGGTGAGTTCCCTCAAATCAGAAGAAGAGAATGACAAGTTGAGGTGGGCAGCACAATCGCTGCCAAGGCGGGATCGCATGCTCAGATCAATCGATCCTTGCCTGGGGCAGAGATCACTGCCGGCGAGCAAGCAGAGATCCGTGAGCTGGTCTTCGGTGCAGGCGCGTTTCGCACGATCCGTGTGAATGTGCTTGCATGGGAGCGAATGGAGAAGTGGGCTGGCTCCCAAGGGCTGTCGGTCTACCCCCTCACCAGCTCCGTTTTATCCAAATACTGCCTGCGCCTCTCAAATTCTAAGCGCGGCCCATCAGTTCTGCCAGCACTGTCTTATGCAGTCAGGTGGATCTGTAAGCGGCTAGTCACGCCCGTCCCGGATACGGACGATCCGCATGTGGGAGCAATCGTTCAGAAGGTTTACCTCGATCGCGGCAAAGAGCTCCGTGAGGCAGTCGAAGTTCCACAGCCCGTGGTTGCTGCGCTCGAATACCTCGTGAATGCTCTGATACTGGAGGGCAAGAAGCCGGCGGCTCTCTTCGCGCGGTGGACGCTCATTTTGATCTATGCGTCGCTCAGGTGGGACGATGGCCGCCACGTGGCGCCGGCATCTCTTGAGCTCACTGAGGAGGCTCTGCTCGGTTTAGTTTGGCAAACAAAGGTCGAACGTAAACGGAAGGGAACTCGGTTTGCTGTTCCTCGTTGTTCGATCGCCGGAGTCGAGTGGTTGGACGAGGTGCAAATTTTTCGTGAGTTCCTTTCCGATAGGGATTTCTTCATTTGGGACTTGGTCAGTGAATTTGAATTTGATACGGTCCCCATTTCGTATCTCCCAAAAGTATGCCATGGCTGAAATTTTTCATACAGACAGCCATAGATGTGGCAGAAGCAGATTCAGTGATCACTGAAAAACAGGCCGCGGTGGCGCGTGAATCAAACCACTCGATCACGTGGCACTCAATGCGAACCACGATGTTGTCCGCAGCGGTCAAATCCAAAGTAGATGATAAGATCATAGGATTGCAGGCTAACTGGAAGAATCCAGGTCAGCTTGTGCAGAAATACGCGCGAAAGCGTAAAGAACTATCGGTTCAGATGGTTCAAGGTCTGGCGGCAGAGATCAGAGAGCAGTGGAAACCGGATCCCCAACGTTTCGAAGTGGGGGATGACCTTGACGTTGTTGATCCCGCTCCATGTGAATACGTTGTTAAAGGATCGCTTCCACCAAAAGCTCTCGTTGCCTCAGATCTCAGATACCACATCAAACTCCTTTCAATGAGCTCGACCCATACGATTTGTGGACGGCTCTCCCTGAAGGACGTGGTGTCGTTCGGACCATTGTCAGACCAAGCTGCAGAATAGTTGACTTCGGATGATCGTCTGCCACAATAGGAAATATGTGAGCGCGGGTGGTCGTTCACTAGATCGGCGATTCCTCGAGTCTTTAACGTTAACTCGTACTTAGGATCCTAGATAGTGATATTTGATCGGGAGCGATTCCTGAAATGATTTTTCAATTGTTGGTGAATTTGCGTGAGTGTGAACTTTGTTTCGCCGCCGCAGCTCTCTTTTTGTTCCTGCGCGGTCGCGGACACCATGGTCGATCGTACGGGCTACCTTGATGAAGCTCGTACGCCCAAGATTGCACTCAGGCAGATCTTTGCCAGGCATGCTCTAAGTGAGGACCTGTGCCTGGCGGCGGCCAACAACGGCTTGCTGTCAGTGGAGGTCTTCGCCATCGGCGACTCGGCATCAGCCGCAAAAGAGGCGATCAAAGCAGCGTCATAAAAGTAAATACGATGCAAGGCTTCATAGGTGTAATCCTGTGCCGTACGCTGCTTCACCGCATTTATGGATGGTTGATATCGTTGGGAATTGCCTACACTGCACCGCTGTCCACGGCCAGTGCTGTGATTGATCCCGCAAGATGAGCTGGGAGCGACTTCGGCGGCTCGTGACCTTGCCGTCATGCAGCTCGCTGCGGTGTGGTTGGCATGTCAGGCGCTGCAGACGCAGTTCGCCAGTCGCAGAGCTCGAATGGAAGAAGATCCCACAAAGGTCCCAGAGATGGCTCAGGAAGACCATGCTGAGTTTCGAGCTCGTTTTGTGAGGGCTCACCCGGATGTCATTTTGATAGACGCTCGCGAGCCCCACAAAAAGTTCGTAGAAAAGCTCAACAGAGATTTTCTGGTTAATGGCATGGTGCCTTTTTACACCATGTCAGAAGTTCGCACCAGGGCGGACACCATCATCCAGAAGTCAGGTCTGACCAAGAATGCCGAAGACTTGCTCACAGTCTCCAAGGCAGATGAGCCGGAAGCCCTCAACATCTGCTCATATTCCCAAGCCGCAGGGCCCTTAGAATACCTCCAGCAGCTCGAGCAGTTCCGGGTCGAATGTCCAGGCCTGCCATTCGTGCTCATGGCTGACAATTTGATCCGCAAGAAGGCCTTCAGGCTCCAAGCCGAACAGAGAGAGAAATACAGCTCGTATGAGATGGCTCTGAAGGAAGTCCTGCAGCGCCACAAATATATGTGGAATGATGCCAGAACCAAGGCAGTGCTCGCACGGGTTGATCCCCGCAAAGAGCAGGAGCCACCTCAGTCCGATAAGACGAGCGATCTCCAAGACAAGCCGCACTCACCTAAAGCGGCTAAGAAGAAGCGCAAGCTCGAGCGCTTGCGGGATGCGCTGGCCAAGGCCAACGCCACCAACACACAGAAGACCGCTCGCACGGAGAAGCAGGCCTCCACTCCAGACAGGGACAAAAGGATCCCCGACTCCGAGTGGAAGGCGATCGCCAGAGCGGCTCAGGCGGTCAAAGGGCCGAAGCGGTGCCACTACTACAACTCCTCCATGAGCTGTTCGCTCGGTGACAAACGCCGGTTCAAACACACCTGCATGCAGTGCGGCGAAGCTCACAACCACTGAGAAGATCCCTCCAGTGCGATCGGCCCCGGGCCGGCTCCGGCTAATGAAGATCTGGGCTTCGTGCACAATGATCTGACCACACCAGAGCCGTTTTGGGGGTCGTTTCGACGACCACCTCCTGGTCGCTATTTTCTGGAAATTTTTGCTGGAAATGCTGTGCTCACCAAGGCCATGAGGGCCGCCGGTTTTGCAGTTCTCCCACCAATAGAGATTGAATGCAATGATGAGGTCCAATTTTCCGTCGACATCACATCCAAGGATGTGATCCAACATTTGCACATGCTCATCACTGAAGGCTACGTGTTCTATGCACACTTTGGGACACCGTGCTCTTCGTTCAGTCTGGCCCGCAAGCTCGATGGAGGTCCTCCGCCTTTGCGGTCCAAGGACTTTCTTTGGGGGGCTCCCTCATCTGAAGCCATGGGACGACCAAAAGGTCAAGATAGGGAACCAGCTCATGCAGCTCACGGTCGATTTGGTCACAAGACTTCAATCCGTAGGCTGCCTATGGTCCATCGAGAACCCGCTGAGTTCCTTCCTGTGGCTCATGCCGCCCATGGTTCAGTTGACCAAGCTCCCTCTAGCAGTTCGGACTGAGTTTGACATGTGCCGATTCGGGTCTGCACCTGAAACCCACCGCCATTTTGGCCACAGTGGCACTCGAAGCTCTTGCACTTCGTTGTGACATGGCCGAGCGGCCGCACCGCCATGTCCCCCTGACGGGGATGGATCTGGTTGATGGGCAGCGACAGTTCCGCACCAAACGAGTTCAGGTCTACCCAACTGATCTGTGCCGCCGATGGGCTAGTGCGATCACAGCATGTGGGGATCCGAATGCTGCCACCTTCAACATGGTCACTCCTGCAGCACACCGCAAACGACCGCTTGGTCAAGCGGTGCCTTGGGCGATCCATCGACAAGCCGAGACCGGCGCTAAGGCGCTCGCTGCAGGATACCAGTTAAAAAGGTCGGTGCTCCCACCATTGCTGGCAATCGAATACGAGCCAGGCGAAGCAGTCAGAGTGGCGCTCGATTTGATACATCCTTTTTCCACCGCGCCGGCCCTAGATCCAGATTTGCAAGAGGCTCTCGCTCTGACCGCCCTCCATCCGGAACAAGTTCGTTCCCACCGTTGCCAGGCCTTGCTCTACTGGGAGCAGCGGGCACATCAGCTGTTGCCGCAGACGGACCAGCAGCTGAGGCAGATCCATGCTCCGCGGCGTGCCGGATGATCAGGCACTTCAGCTCGGTCAGTGCACACACATTGCGCTGTGGCGAGAGCTTGCTCAAGCTGCGCGTTCAGTGGATGCTGGGCTCGTAGCAAATGATTTTAGGCCTACCGATCGTCGGCCCCATTTCCCGCTCTCATCGATGGGACCCCTTCGATCACAACCAACAAGTCCTGTCAGTGGAACAGTTGAACTCGAGGGCCTGGGAATTTTCGGCTAAGGTCATTCGTAATACCAACAAATGTGAAATTTCTGATAACACCCAGAAGGTCTGGGATGCCACAATGGAAGATGTTCACGAAGGTGTGACCTTAGGTCCTTATCTTTCAATACACGAAGTCGAACAGATCGTTGGGACCCCATGGATCCCAACACAAAGATTCGAAGTCGTTCAGAAAAACAAGGTCAGGGGGGTCGATAGTGCCACAACTAACGGCATCAATATGGCCACCCAGATTACAGAGAAGCTCGATCTGCCATCGACAGATGTCAACGTGGCAGCCATTCGGTGGCTTCGTTCGAACACCAAAGGCCGGAAGCTCAGAGGGTGGGTTCTCGACGAACGAAAGGCATACCGACAAGTGCCGATTCGGCCTGACCACAGGAGGTGGAGCGTGATCGCTCTCAAAGAGCCCTGTTCAGGTAGAATTGCTTTTTTTCGTCATGATAGGTCATTCGTTCGGACTCGTCGCGGCCGTTTACAACTACAATAGACGGTCGGCTCTGATCACGGATATTTTGAGAAGGGTGTTCAGCGTAGCTGCTTTCAATTTTTACGATGATAAATATGGGTTCGAACCCGAAGACACGGTCGATTCGGCATTTGCAGCCACACAGGCGGTCCACTTGCGGTTAGGAGCAAGGTTCGACCAGAAGAAACTGCAGAAGGCCGAAGACCCCACGATCCTGGGGGTCACATACGATCTCACACACATGAAAGTGCTCATCAAAGTAGGAAAGCTGAGCTCATGGATGAGATTAGGAGCATACTCCAGTCGGGTGTGCTCTCGCCAGGCCAAGCAGGTAAGCTGAGAGGAAAGCTCATGTTCGGATCGTCCCAATTATGGGGAAAGATCGGAAGAGCATTCTTGAGAGCTTTGTCAGAACGGCAGTATTCGAGATGGCCCAGCTCCGATTTGAACACTGCTATTAGGCTCTCGCTCGGCGAATGGGAACACTTGCTCGTAAAGGGCCCACCACGGCCAATTGAGATGATAAAGAAGAAGAAAGCCGATTTCGTTATTTTCACTGAGGGAAGTTTTCCTGACGATCGCTCAGACGGCCCAGAGTTTCCGTGGATCGGCGGGGTGATCTTTTCCCGAAACAGAACGCCTTCCCAGTTCGGCTGTAGGGTGAAAGATTCGCTCATTGAGAAATGGCTCCCACGCAAATCGCAATCGCCATGGTCGAAATGTTTGCAGTGGTCGTAGCTCTCGAAACTTTCGGTTCAACGATTCGAAACTCGTGGATCCTGATGTTCGTCGACTCTGAACCAGTTCAGGGTGCGCTCGTGAAGGGATATTCTGCTAAGGAAGACATGTGCGAGCTAACAGGTGTTTTCTGGAAGTTAGCTCTGGAACTCAAGGTCAACACCTACATCGACAGGGTCTCAACAGATGCTAACCCAGCAGATCCTCCATCGAGAGATCGGATGAACATTGGATCTCGGCTAGGTTGGAAAACGGTCATTGCT